AGTTTCTTTCAGGAAGTCAGTGAATTGGCAGATTTGGTCTGCTGTTAGGCCCCATGAATTTTTTAAAGCAAACTCAGTTTTCTTTTTTCTCTGTGTGCTCTGGGAGTTGTCGAACATGAAGTAAACCGGCTCATTGTCCTCATCTTTAGCATATTTAATGTTTGCATCTTCTAGAGCTTGAAGAACATTTTCAGGTGGCAGACCATTTGAGTGAGTGATGAGGGCAACAATGTTCTTCTCCATATCTTTTCCAAACAGAGACATCACTGAATCAAAGATGTACCTCAGTCTGTCACTGAGTCGATTCTCAGTCGCTTTCAGCACCAGACCCACTGCATTGATCTCATGGACTCCGTCCTCTGAGCGGAACAAGTCAAATAATCTTTGCCTGACGATGTCGTCTCGCTCAGTCCCCGTGGTTCTCCAGTACCCAGGAGTGTCGATGACGGTCAGAGAGTAGGGCAGAGTTTTATCTTCAAAACCAAAGATGTGGTACACGATCACATCTGATTCCTGACCTCCCTGCTCGTCCTCTACGATCTCGAACCAAACATCGTCCTTCCAGTCCACTCCCATGGTGTAGTTGACCAGAGCGTTGATCAGAGTAGATTTTCCTTCTTCCGTTTCACCCACAAGCAAGATGGTTTTGTTTTTCTTGTTCACATTTCTTTCACCAAGTGTCGTTCTTCTCACAGTAGACACAATATTCTCTTTCTTTGTTGGTAACTGGTAGCATCTGGGAGATCCGGACTGGATCAGATTACTTTTAGAGATTATGTTGTCATATTGCTTTGTTGTATAATTATTCCTGTAAAAGAAGCAGATCATGTACATGTTTAATTTCATGTATATACTTTATTAGACTTCCTTCCTTCGTTCATTTCAAACTTACTTAATGATCTAGCCCCACTGAAAGGATTAAAGCCATATTAAAACTCTGTGTAACTGTGAAATGCAGCTGCCTTATTTGAGCTGGATTTAGTTCCTACCTTGTCTGTGATGTTTATTTCCCTGATGATTGTGTTTTTATTTGTATTTAAATTGTAACTTGTGTGCTGTGTTGCCTAGGAGAAGAGATAGAAGGCAATGGAAGCATTAAAGGCAGCACTATTACTTGATGTTTCCCCATTCAGCATTCTTTAAAATAAATACCTATAACGTTTTATAACACACTGAATGTTTTCTGAAAGTTACATATCATATAACAATAATAAATGTTGATTATTAAGCAGTGCCTGAAATGGGCCTTCTGATTTTGGTCCACGAGTACCCTTACTTCTTACTGAGTACCGCCACCACTGGTGAGCAAGGCCGTACCCACCACTGAGGTCACAGTTGTTTTTTGAGGGGTATACAATAAAAGTTGTAAAATAATTGCCTAAAAATACCTACCTTGGTGCTTTTTTGATGCCCCCAAATTGTCTTAGCAAGTTCAGCTTTCGAACCTTGTGTGTTTTTAAAACCCTGCATACAGTTCTGTTGTGTTTAGGTTTGTGCTGAATTTGGGTACTGGCACCTTTTTTTGGTCCAATTCAGGCGCCATTATTAAGGTTGTTGTGTGCAGTGTGTACTGGGCTATACTACACTGAGTGCTTACAATGATCTCGTACACTTACTTCATTTGAGAACCAGCTGCTGTTAGTTGGTAGTTTGCTCTGGTTCCTGTATGCACTTGTCTTTTCATCTCTTCCAGTTTCTGGACCTTCTCTGTGTCTCCTTTCTTCTCCTTCATCTTCTCAATCAGGAAGTCCAAGTGGACAAGAGTGGACAGTGAATCAGCATTCAGGGCGATCTGCTCCAGTCTGACAACATGCTGGAAGGACTCTTCCAACATCTGATCTTTATCTTTCTGTAGTTCATCCAGATTGCTTATCATATTCTCATAGTCTTCCTTACTCTTTATATACTTTTGTCTCATGTCTTTATCTACCATTTTAACTTTCCTTGTCTTCTCCACATAGATGCGGTCATGCAAATGTTTTGATACCGGACACTGCCTCGGACATACGGTGCAGTGCACATCTGTACTGACCGCAGAGCGTCGTGGACTTTGGGTCATTTTGTATCTGGGGCTCTGACAGGTCATCTCACAGATGGGACAAGAGACGGCTTCTTTATATAACAACCCACAGCCCCACCAACTCCTTTCACCAACGATAGGTTCTTCAGCTTTGTAAACCTGATCAACTTCTTCCTCATTGCTCCTCATGTCATGTTCATGTTTCTGCAGCATTTCCTCAGCCTGTTGGATTTCCTTCTGTTTTACTTCAATTGACTCAACTCTTTCTTGAACTATTTGGATGCAGGTCGTCAGTTTGAGTCGCTCGTTAAGAACGACCACGGTTGTTGCCAGCGTTTGAAGTTCAGTTTTG